GAATTTTCTCTAATAATGCACACGTTCCCTTCTGCCAATGAAATGTCTTTCTTCTGCTTTTTGCTTCAGAGCTCTCTACTACACCTGAGCTTAATGACTCCTGGCACACTACCTCTACAGGTGACAGCTGCTCTCTACAGTTCTGTATAGGACCTTGCATTTTGTGGTCTCTGTATAGGTATACCTGCATTTATTATAATATTCATCTATCTATCTATCTATCATCTATCCATCTGTCTGTCTGTCTGTCCATCTATCTAACTATCTTGCGGTACTGAGTCTTGAACCTAGAGCCTCAAGTATGCCAGTCAAGTATTCTACCCAGGCTTCTTTTTAGTTTTATTTTGAAACAGGATCTTACTAAGTTGCCCATACTGGCCTTGAACTCACAATGCTCCTGCTTCAGCATTCCAGGTAGCTCGGAGGATTACAGGCCTACACATTGGGTGAGGTATCTCCTCTCCTTTTTAGCAAATGTAAAGGCATCACCGCTAAGAGTGAGAGTAAGGAAGCCAAGTGAAGGGCAAGGACCTCCAGCAAACACGCTTCATAGAGTCACAGGTTCGACAAAGTGAAGAGTGCTTCGGATGAACTCAGGGTAGAGTTACTGGAAGGCGATTAGATCACGGGTGTGTGTATGGCAGAGTTTCTAGGCAGCCATGGGACAGGGACAGAACTTCAGTCCAGGAGCAGGGAAGACAACAAGGTATAAAATGCGCAGCTAGCTGTTAATGTATTTGTTTTATTTTATTTATGTGTGTACATCTGTGTGCATATGTCTGTGTGAGGGTATGTGCATGTATGTGTGTGGGTACCACAGAAGCCAGAAGAGGGCGTCAGATCCCTTGGAGCTGGAGCTGCGGGCTTTTTTTTCTGCTTGACATAGGTGCTGGAAACTCCAGTCTTTATAAGCGAACAGCAAGTGCTTAGGCATCCCTCCCTCTAGCCTGCTGCTGGCTTGTAAAATGATCATTTAAAACTCTTCTCCTGAGGAATAACATGCCTGGGAGTCTGGATTGGTTTAATTTGTTGTGGTTGTGACATTCAATGAGAATACAAGTTTTTAATTATTTTTCGCTGAAAATCAGAATTCTATCTTCTAACCAAAGTCAGTAATATCAAACTAAAACGAGATATTTTATTTGGAAAGTCTTAGCAGGTAAGGAAAGCTAGTAGATCCTCTTTGTTCTGTGATATTACTTTCCCTACAGGGGTTCAGGGGTTCAGTACCCAAAGGCCATGTGCTATTTTTAGTGAACAAACCAGTATGAGGGTACATATTATGTTTGGGGTGACAAGAACACAGTTTTCTGATCACCACTTAGTTTTATACAGGTTGAAAAGCATGCCCCATGCTCTTCCTAATTCTATGCTCCGCCATTCCATTTTCCCCTCGGTACCCCCAAACAGAGCTTGAACAGAAGAGAGGCCTGATACAACTGTGTTGGGAATGGAAGAGTGCATCGGTAGCCCTGACCCTTGGAACCACTCTATGTTAGGCTAATTTATTCTACTGCCATTCAAAATATGGGAGGAATCCCTTTTGTTCCCCATATCCAATGGAAAGTCAAATCTTACCCAGCCTGGTCCTAGGTGAATCTTGCATGACCTTAGAATTACTTTTTTTTTTTCAGCGTACAGTTCTGTATTGTTTGATTTCAAATCAAATGCAAACAGCAGACAATACCAAAAGCCAAAGGAGATGAACTCCAACTCCCCTGAAGAAACACCCATTGCTGTGGCGAGAGGAAGCCACGGTCTAGAGCTAAAGGAAGAGAGACTTGCCCAGGGTCTCATATGTCCTTTGTCCTCAGATCTGAACTGTGATTTTACATAGCCCTTGATTCCTGGTTTGGCCATCTGTTTCCTGAACACACCCTGCACTTTGCCCATGAGAGCTGGCTGGACCATAAACCTAACTTTCACTACTGATATAAATGACCAGATTTTTACCAAATGCTGAAGGGATTTACCTAATGCCAGCATAGCAGAGCTAAGTAGTACACCTTGAAACATGAACAGGTAAATTCAGTACAAACACGAGGCCACGGTTAAGCACAGCAGAAATGCTGGCTAAACAACTTCTGGATAATTTGTATGTATTTGTTCTAGGTTATTAAGGAGTCTCATTAAGTTTTAGCGCGTTAGGCTTTTTACAGCTGACATCAACAAGGTAAACCCTTGTTCATACAACATCACCGCCACCATCCCGCAAACAATGAGTCAAGAGGCTGTGTGGTCAACCCTTAGGTAGAATTCCGGCAGTGAGGGCAACGAGAGAACTGGGCTTATTCACTCTAAGTCACAGTTTGGCTCAAGCCATTGCCACTGTCTCGTCTCCCATCTCTGTTCAGACTTCAGCTTGGTTGGTTCTTAGCAGACATGTGTTGGGCAAAGAGAGAGCCCAAGAGAACCGAAGGCCAGCTAGCAATGCGTTCGATGGTGAGAGGTGTGCTCTTCCTGTCTGGACAGTGTCCACGCACCTCTAATGTCCACTCAGCTTCAAGTCTAACCTTGGGCTTCCTCCACCTCTCTGCCGGCTTGCTTCCTGTGATGGTTTCCATTATGCCCTAAGACCTCTCACTCTTTAATATCGGCTTTTGGTGGTTATGACGTCGGCTTTTTTTTTTTTTTTTTTTTTTTTTTTTTTACTGCCACAATAGTGGGTTTGCCCCACTGGGCCTTTCTGATAAGATTTTCTCTTCCTTTCTAAATAAAAAATACAAGTTTCCTATCTTCACACACCTGGAGAAAATCCCCATGCTGGTGTGGTGTCTATCTGAAATTCAACACTGTTCGCATGACCACCAAGAACGGAGTCCTCTCGACTTTCCCCACAGGGACAAGGCAGGGACTTTATTTGGTGGTGCCTGATTAAAAGGTGTTGGGAATGGATGAATGCATCCATAGCTCTGACCCTTGGAACCACTCCATTTCAGGCTAATTTATTCTACTGTATTCAAAGTCCAGGACTTAGGGTCTTCGGACTTGCTCTGAGTTTCCCCCTCTCCTGACAGGCTTGCCCTGACTTGGGCTCTCGTGACCAAACGCTTGCTACCAGCTCTATGGGTATCGGCATCCCTGTATCTCCATCCTCTGTCCCTAACTTTCGCTGCCACACTCTCCTCCCATACGGTTTCCCTTGTTAAAGTCCTAAGGTGCCCACGACCTTTCTCTCAAGCTCTCCGCGGCCTCCCTGCAGCAGACCCTTCCCCCTTGAGCTCTGTGTGTCTCATTTTCTCCCCTAACCAGCCTCCTCTGCCCTGCCTCTTTTTTTCTACTGATAAACTGCATTTCTCCTGGCAATCTTAAATTCACAGGAAAGTTAAGTGGGGATGACAGAGTTCCCACATTCTCTTTGTCCACTCCCCATGCAAAGCCTCTGCCGTTATCTATATCCCACACTCATCACAGAGGATGACGCGGCTACATTCATAAGTCATGTCACCTCCATTTCACCGTTTGCATTAAGTTCAAGCACAGCATCATGCGTCTGCCATCACAGCACCTCACAGATGGTTCTGCTGCTCTGAAATGCCATGTTTCACCTAGCATCCCTCCCTCCAGCTCCCGGCAACCACTGGTCCTTTTGCTATTTCCTTAGTTTTGTGTGTCTTAAATTTTTACTTACTCGCTGTTATTTATGAGTTTGGATAGATACATCCATCTTGTATGGTAGACACGTTCTCACCATCTCCCCTTCCTCTCTCTCTCTCTCTCTCTCTCTCTCTCTCTCTCTCTCTCTCTCTCATGCTCCCTCTCCTGATCTGGGTAGCTTCCATTTTACTCATATTTGCTTCCTCCACAGGTTACCATTTGCCACCAAAACTCCTCTGTGACTACGTTCATCTCAAGATGCTGGCGGCCTTCCTTCTCGTGGCATCAATACTTAGTTCCAGTCATGTAGCTGTTGGTTATTACTGAACTAGTGATGATGGTTAAGGATATCATTAATAATAATAATAATAATAATAACAGCTATTAGCTGTGCATGCTATGTGTCAGCTACAGGCCATTTATAAAGGTCAATATTCCTCACAATAACCACAGAAGTGTAGATATTATGCTGATTTTATATAGGACGACTGTGCCTTAGAGGTTACTTGCTCAGAGCCACGTGGCCACGTGGCAGAGCCACGATGTGCGTCCTAGTCCACAGTGCAATGAGTACATGCATAGACATCCCATGAAGAGCCAGGTTCATCCAAGGCCAGAGCATGAGACCAGCGCACTTTCGTTACAGGGTTAGTTTTTCGGTTTTATACTACAAGGTCGTGAGGGGGTCACATGCACTGGCCTTGCTTTGCATCTGTGCACTGGGATAACCGGCACGCAAAACCATGGAACGGTTTTCTCCCTGTGAATACTTGGCCTGCTCTCTGTAAACACCCAATCTAGGTGGCATTCAGATGCCTCTGTCCTTTGGTCTGAGGCCTGAATGTTAAGATGCACATTTCCAGTGTGCACGCCTCATGTCAATGCTGCATTTTTCCAACCCACCCTCTAAGATATCACCTCAAAGCTGTACTATTATAACAGCTTCCAATTGCACCCTCCCCAATAACTCAGGGCATCAGTATTAACCTTCCTGATGCAGATGACCAGGTGTGGATGCTTTTCTAATAATAATAAAACTCGAAATAGGACTCATGTGGGGCTTGCTAAACTGCTTCCAATAATCAATATTCAGATTTTCTTCCATTTTAATATTATTCGTGGTTTTAAGCTTTTTACCATTACAAACTCTACAACATGGTAAAGATGCAATTATTTGATTCTTCTCCAATCTCCCATTTTCTTGAAAATTGTTCATTTTCTCTTTTTTTTGGTATGTGTGCAAAATTTAGATTCTTAACAGAAAACTATTTTACATCCGTAACTAGTTTTCCAAATTGTTCAATGTGCAGTATGGCCACATTTGGCGGGTTAGAGGGAAAAGCCATCATGACTGGAAATCAACATTGCTGATAATGTGAGCGTCTGTCAACCTGGACCCTTACCTCTCTGCTTCCAGGCGCATCTCCTCCCTCTTTTGCCTCCTGAGTTCTCTGCGACGTTCAAAGTCATCCATAGCGAGGTTGCAGGTTTAGGGAGCCCAGATAAAACCGGGATCTAAAAGAAGAGAGACGGAGGCAGAGTCAGGATCACCGATGAGGCCTGAGCCCCGGCATAGCCCTTCCCATTTTCACCCCTTCATCTTTTATTTTAATGAAAATACCTTAGAATACTGACAAGGCGGCCAGTGGTCGAGTCTCACTCTTAAGCTATTGAAGATAACTACGAGCCCAGAATTACATTTTGAAAGTAAGAAGGACTCGCAGGAGACAGAACTATTGATACACTGATTTAAATGGTCTCATCTCCTGTCATTTGCTGAACCCCGGACAACACTTACACAAAAACAAACAAAGAGGAAAGCAGGAGGGGGATTAAAAAAGGAAAAGGAAACCGGCAAGAAGAGAAATTTGTAGAGAGTAGGCAAAGTATAAGAGAAATCAAGCAATGCTACATGCTGGCATTATTTGCATATTCTCCAAGTGTTAACATTGGGACTTTTTTTTTTTTTTTTTTTTTTTTTTTTTTAAAGAAGTCTGCAAAAGTCATAGGAGGAAAAAAAAAAAAAAAACCTTCAGGAAGCAGCAGTTTAGAAGGCAGCTAAGTTGTGATCAAGTTATCTTTGGAGCTCAAAAATCTTCGGCGCTCTCCAGATGTAATCCGACCATTTTACCCCTTCCTACCTCCTCAGAGATGGTTTTGATTCTGGGAAGAATTTCTGGCTCTTCGATACGGAGCCTGCTTCCCCCACTCGTGTCTCTGTGCGATGCAGTCAAATGTTCCAGAACTCTCCCAGAGCCCCCAAACCCAAAATGACTCCCAGGAAAGGGGAAGCAGGCTCCTGTCCGCACTTTGTTTACAGAGCTGTCTGTGGTGGTGGTTCATTAAACTAGCCTGGAATCTGGCATTTAAGGCCTGCTGGAAGAGTGTTTCCTGTGTGAGGCGGGAGGCTCCATTTCCTCTGAATTCCTAGGCGCTAGCTCGGGCTGCACTGAGATCACAAAATATTTTCCAGCGCCTTCTATGTAGATGAGATGAGCCACTTGTCCTGTGCAAGAAGATTGGGGAGGGAAAACCCAGGGCCATCACAGGATGACAGCTTTGTTTGAAAACGAGTTCAGAAAGAAAAAACAAAAACAAAAGCAAAACTCTGAAATAAACTGGCATAGAAGTTTTTACCCTCACCACTTGCATGGTTCATACAAACAAAAGTCAAATCTCAGCCAACAAAAACAAAACCATGCAGTGTTTGGATTTTTGTTCTCACTTTCTGCATCCTCCAAAGCATTAATGTTTAGAAACTTGACTTTGAGCTTTTATTGAAAGTTTTAAAATCTCAGTTGTTTTGTTTTACCCCCAATACCTTCTAGTCATGAAGGGAACAGGGTTTCTTTTTGCCTTTTGCCAACCAACCAGAAAGATGTTTCTCAGAATAGACGTGGTGGAGTGTGCTTGTAGTCATAGGACTTGGGAGAGTGAGGTAAAAGGATTGTGAGTTCAAATCCAGCTTGGGCTAAAGAGTAGGAACCTGTCTTGGACAGAAAAACAAGAAGCTCTCTTCCCACCAAGCCCCCTACAATCTTATACATTTTCTCATCCGAACGCTCTATAATTGTTAGAATGAAAAACAAAAGTGATCTGAGGGCCTCTGTGAGCCCACCTTCTCTCCTGCCTGCTGCCCTGACCACCTGGAGGCACCTGAAAGAGTAAGGCCGGAAGATTCCACTTTCTTCCTCTACTCTTGAGTGTTCGGTTGTGTAAAACCACCTCTTGAGTGACTGTAGCAGACAGGACTGGGAGAAGAGGGTGCTCTAAGCAAACTGTTCCTGCTCTGCAGAGTTTCTGTAGCCACGAGAGACCCTCCGAGGTGGCTGCTGCTCCTGCTATCAAACCTAAGCAGGCACCTGCTGGGCGGCAGAGCCAGCGCTGTATGCCTTATCTCAGAAATGTCAAAGAGCAATGCACAGGGTGCCCTGGGTGCTGAGAAGACCAGAAAGGCACTGACTTGCGGAGACAGCAGCAGAGGTGAACAACCCACGTGGCTACTGTGGCTCCAGAAAGTTCTTTCTCCAATTCTGCCCTCCTACTCCCCACCTTTTATTGCTAACTTCAATGCCATTTTTCTTTCCTAACCATAGAGAAGCTACTTACGGCTTGGGTATAGGCTGGGTATGGAAGAAGGGACCATAAAAGCATGTTCTTTCTATGCAACTCTGTGGACCAGTGAGTGCCTTTGTGTGCTATGCCCTGTGAATATCCGATGGAAAGCAAAAACACATCTGTGTACCATGTGATATGACTCTTGGTTGCTGTGTGTGCATGCATGTTTATGTGTGTGTGCTTATCTTTGTGTGTGCATTTGCATGTATGTGTGCTTGTTGTATGGCAGAGAGGTACCCTTGTAAACAATGGCTCTTGGCTGGTCTTAAAGCAGGATACCCCCACATCACACTATTTCTGTGTAGAGGTCATGTCAGGGTAGAATTTTAAGTGATTCCCCCCCTTCTTTGGGGAGCAGCAGCACACATGCCCTGTTTCCTCCCCGGCTCCCGGCAAGTGCAGAATGCTTTCCATTAAAATTGGTTAGGAAGTAACTCACAACAAGCAGAGTGATGAAATGCTCAGGCAGAGAGAGTTTAACAACTACAAGCTCTTGGGTGTCATAAGAGAGAAGGCAAGCTAAAGGAGGTTTCCATGGATGGAGCGGAAGTCCTGACAGACTTCAGGGAAATCTAAGGAGGTGCAGGCATTACCGCATGCCATTCAAAATCCAACCACAATGGCACTCCTTTAGTTAACAAGTAGCCCTTGTCAAGACACGTGTGCTTACCCAGGGCGGTATTTGTCTTTCCTATATGGTTTCTCACACTGGGCTTTTAAAGGCTGGCGGCTCCGTGATTAAGGAGCAAGTGTGCACTCAGGTTTCAGAAAGTGTGAACACAATGCCTGTTCCTTGGCTAAAGGTTCTGCAGAGCTCACAGTCCAGGTGAGAGGAAGGATAGGACGCGAGCCTGCACCTCAGGGTCTCCTGAACCCCTCTTCCCTCCCTGTCTGTACTTCTAAAGGACGTGGGGAGATAGTTGTATATTCCTCTTCTCCTTAGCTATGGCTGGCCTGGAACTCATAGGAATCCTCCTTCCTCTGCCTGATTTTGTTTCTTCTCCACCTCCCTCCCTAGAAAGGGGATCAGAGTATATCCATATCAAGTAAATCTATTTGATTCTTTTCCTAAAAAGAAGGAAAAAAGAGCCCAATTTGTGATCAGTATCATTTACACAAGAAATGAATGTTTTTTTCATAGGGTGTGCACTTGCATGTGTGTGCACATGTGTGTATGTGTGCATATGTGCATACAAACGTGTGTGTGTGTGTGCATGTGTGCATGTGTACTGATGTCTGGTCTTTTTTGAAAAAGCAAAAGACATTTTCTCATTAACGATGAGACATTTTGGAATTGTTATACAGCAAAACAAACATTTCTCAGTGTTTTCAGATTCCTGCCATGTTATTCTTTGAGATTCAGAGACAATCAACTATTATTTCCAGTTTTCAAAAAATTAAGGCATTTTCAACATTTGACCATCTTCATATCCCATCATTTGAATATCTAAAATTCTCCTCTAAAGAATAAAGTACACATGTCTGGTGTGGTGGGAGGCAGAGGCAGGCAGATCTCTGTGAGTTTGAAGCCAGCCAGGTCTATAGAGTGAGTTCCAGGACAGCCAAGGCTGTTATATGGAGAAATCCTGTCTTGAAAAACCAAAACAAGAGAAAGAAAGAGAGACAGACAGACAGACAGACAGACAGACACACACACACAGAGAGACACACACACAGACAGACAGACACAGACAGACACACACACAGACACACAGAGAGAGAGAGAGAGAGAGAGAGAGAGAGAGAGAGAGAGAGAGAGAGAGAGAGAGAATGGAGGAAGTCTAGGATGTGGGGGACATTGTCTCAACTGTCTTAGAATGTGTTAAGAATAAAATTTGTTGCTTCAGGGACACTGACGGGGCTAAAGGCACCCGCCCCAAGGATCTATCCTATATGATATGGTAGGCCACTTTTTTAAGTTTTTTAAACCTTTGATCAATACATTTTGTTTCTCAGAGCATAGAATAAATAGAAAAGGGAATAGAATTTCTTTGCACACCTTCCCCTTTCTCCTTGCTTACATGTTCTTCTACATTTAGGTTGAATTGTACCCAAGAAGCATGAGAGAAAGATACACACACACACACACATACATACACACACACACACACACACACACACACACGGGGAGGGGGGTTCAGGGTCCATAAAAATGGCTTTGCTTCATCTTGGCTTAAGGTCAGAGAGTTCAAAACTATCCTTACTCTTCCAAGGTTAAAGTCATGAGACTTAAAGGTCTAAGGCATGTAACAAGAGACTTGGTCTAAGGCGCTGTTGCTAAATGTTTGGATAATTAAGATAGAAAGTTGATTTGTTCTTTGTATCTTGATAAAGAAATCTCTTGCCTTTTTGGTTTGGGTATATTAGAATGTTGAAGAATAAACTTGGGGCATTCAGTATTCACTGGATTGTCCTCCTGACCCTATTCTGTGTCTCTATCTTTTCCTTAGTATCTTTACTTGCTATTTCTCAATCCACACTCCCTCTCTCAGGTAAGAACCAGGCAAATTGGCTGGATCTTACTGAAGCCCCACAAACATGGGCTGCTACAGAGAGAGAGAGAGAGGCAGACAGACAGAGACAGATATACATTAAAGTTCTAGTCTCCAATATCTCAAAATGTGTCCTTATTTGAAATAGAGTCTTTGCAGATGTAGTTAAGGAAAGGGGATTAAGACAGATCCTATTCTAATACAAGGGTTTCCGTATTTTTTTTTTAAGAAAATTTGGTGCAAAGGGGAACATACATACAGAGGGAAGATAATTTGAAGACACAGAGAGAATGCCACGAGAAGATGAAGACTAAGGAATAACACGAATCCGTCCTTAGCGGCTTCAGAGAAAACATGGTCTTGTCTACCACTTGACTTGAGACTTCAAACCTCCCACACCATGTT